TGTGAATGCCGCGTGAGTGTGCGCCCGGGCAGGCCCCGGGGATCGGAGGTCTCAGCTGTGGGGTCCCCTCCCTCTTCCCTCGGGAGCCGGGGCTCTCCCCCCAGAACCGTACGTAAAGGTTGATGGGGACCCCGCTCCCCCTGCTCAGCACGGGAATGCCCACACGAGCGAGGAGGGGCGGCTCCCTGTCTCCGAGCGAGTGGATGGAGTGGGCAGTGGGGGCCTTGGGGGCAGGCTTGGGGGTGGCCCTGCCCTAGAGGAGCTTCGGGGTGGAGTTGGGAGCCAGGTGGGGACGGGTCTGTTCCCCTGGACGGGCAGAGCAGCGGTCTGGCGTCCCTGGTTTGGACACAGCCCTGCCACCCAGCTCCTCCGTAGGCAGCCTGGTCAACATGCAGGGAAGTGATCCCTGGGGCCCCCGGGGTGAGGCTGTGCAGGGGCCTGACAGCCCACGGCCTGGGGACGGCAGGGGAGCCTCCGGAAGGAGCGGGGTGTCCGCTGGGGAGGAGAGTCAGCCGCCCTTTAACCCCAGAACCCCCCCAGGAGGCCAGCCCAGCGGGACGGGCACAGCCGGGGCAGCTCCCAGGGCTGACGGCTCTGTGCTCTCCCCTCCAGGATGGGCAGGTCACCTGCTTTGTGGAGACTTGCCAGCCAGCTGACTGCCCAGCGCCCGCCAGGGTCAGTGGAGCCTGCTGCCCCGTGTGCTCCAGAGACTCCACGGGGAAGCAGCCCTGAGCGTCCGCGAGCCCGGAGCTTCTCCTGGCCCCGGGAGCTAGGTCGCGCAGGTGCCGGGGCAGCAAGGCTGGGACGCGGGGGCCACGGCTCAGGGCCGTGCGAGCTCACCCGGGGACTCCCAGCCTGAGCGTTCACCAGCAGACCGCGGGGCAGACGCGTGTCCTGACTCGATCTTAAGGTTTCTCAGGTTTCTATTTAATTTTTTTAATGAAAAATTGGTGCTACTATTAAATTGCACAGTTCAATCATTTAGGCTCCTAATTGATTTCACCTAGTATCACCGTTTCTTCTCAACTGAAAGTTAGTCCCGCTGGGTTCCGGCGCCAGGAGCCTGCAGAGCGGAGCCGGCGGCGGAGGGACGCAGGATTTGAAAGAGAATCCGTCCCTGGCAAACAGAACAGTCTGCACGGACGTGGGGCGGCAATGCGGGCGGCCAGCGTGGGCCCCCGCGCCCCCTCCCTCGGCCCCTGCCGCTCCGCAGGCCCCGCCGGGCCCCGCCGCCTGTGACCCCGACTCCACGCGGCCCGGAAGGTTTGAAGCCGCCGCGCTCCCCCGTGACCGGCGCACACGCTGCCGGGTGTGGACCAGGTGGGACGGCGCCCCATCCGCACCAGCATCGCCCACGGCACGCGCACCCTGCTCTGCCGCCCGGCTTCACCCGCCGGAGTCCACGGCCGAGCCGCCACGCTCTCCATCCCTGTTCCGACGGGAGGAACACGCGTGTCGGGGACTTTCTGACTTCAGGTTGTCAGAGTCCGTTCAAGAAAAGCAGCCGGTCTGTATACCTCATTTGTATCTCTGCCGCATGTGATGGTTGATGAAATTTCACGCATGTTTTAGCTTTGGATACGGCAGAAACCGCACGTCCATGCCGCTCAAGTTCCCTTAGGGCTCAGTGAGAAACAACTTCCATACCTCATGGCCTCTGTCTTTTTACTCGACCGGAACCTCCTGTTTGGTTCCAAATGCAAATGGTCTGTGTTCTGGAAAACAGGTCCCTGGATCTCCTGCTCTGTTCTCGGACCTGAGTGTCCAGCGCGAGCCGGGCCCCGTGCTGGGCGCAGACACGGTGCCCGCCCGCGCTTCCTACGGGAGACCCTCTGGGACCCCGGCCGGCCCGGTCCATGTGGGCGAGTCTGGAGTTGGCGGTGCCGTGTGGAGCCTGTCCTGGGTGGGGAAGAGGAGGCAGGTCTCCAGGCGGCTCCAGCAGGTGCCGGGCGCTTTGAAAGCTGGGTTCCGGCCCACCCCTCCTCCCCGCAGCAGGAGACCCCAGTGCCTGCGGGGCTGCATTCCAGCCGGGGGGCGGGCGGCGGCTTTCCACACGGGCGGCTGGACTTGTGAGCGCACATCACTGGTGATCGGATCAGTACAAGCTCCAGTGTTCCTGGGCACAGGGCTTCTCTTCACAAAGCAGGGCAGACGGGGTAGATAATCAGACCTTGGCACCCATCTCTGCAGACAGGAAATGGTTCACTTTGTCTGAGGTGGATGGTTACGTAAGTTGCTCAGGTATGAGATCCCACCTTCTGGAGCGTGTGGAGTCTGAAGGCGCCCGAGGTTGAGCGGTGGCTTGATGCAGAGGACGCGGGGACTGGGATGGCTTTGTCTAACGCGCCGGGTGGCCGTCTGAGTCACCGGGAAGCTCTGCGGCTGGGGATGGACCGTCCGCGCCCTCCAGCGGCCCCCGCGGAGGACGCAGTGTGTACATACTCACTGGCCCTTCTAATCAGATGTTTGCCAGCAGCAAGTGCCTTTCTTCTGTTCATTGTAATCAGCCCGTCACCAAAGAGACGTTTGCACTATGTAACAATGCCTTTCAGTTCCAATAAACGGGCCACGTTTCCAAACAGAGCGTGGGTCTTCCTTTCGTGAGCCGATCGGGAGGCAGGTCCCCGAGGGGCTGGGCCCTTCGTAGAGAAACGGGAAAGGGGGAGGGGAACTCGGGGATACTCGAGGAGGACTCGTCCCTCCTCCCCTGGCTGGGTGCTGTCCTGGGGACCGAGCTGGCCTCCTTGTTGAGAGTCTCGGGCGGGTCGGGGCGAGCTCCTAGGAGAAAGCTGCAGCCCCTGCCCCACCCCCCGACGTTTCTGGCTCTGTGGCTGGAAATGTGTGGTTGTGGACAGCTGTCCAGCCCGTGGTGCCCTGGGCCCAGGCGGGATACAGGATGGGGTCCTGAAGGGACCTGGAAGTCATAGGAGGGGTCTTTGCAGGAACATCATGACCATTCATGGAAATATGAGAAAAAAATAGGTTAGGGGAAGATTAAGTATTGACATTTTTAAAGTTGCCAAATCTTTCAGAGCTTGTAAGAAGACCCCTTGAACTTTCATAGTCGTGCTGAGCCCGCGTCACTGATGGTCTCCTGAGGGTCTTGCGGGTCATAGACAGGGGTGGGGAGAAGGGCTCAGCTCTTTCTTCCAGTGACAGGTGTCACGTGACGTTTCTGTGTGAGGTGAATACACTTCCCTGCACGTGTGCTTGGGTGTTTCAGGATCGCCGGGAGCTGGAGCCCCGAGACTCGGGTGGGGCGGCTGCAGAAGGGCGTGTGGGTGAAAGGTCAACAAATGCTGGCCGAGGGGGACGCAGGGGCCAGACTGTGGGCCTGGAGCCCGGCTGGGCAGACATCCCCTCACTTCCTCGAGACCAGCCCCGTGCCAGCCGCGTGCCCGCCGCCCCAACGCGGCCAGGGCTGAGGCCTCTGGCCCTGGAAGGACAGCAGGCTGAGCTGGGGGGTGAGGGAAGAGCCGCCTTCGACCCGGTTCTGAGCAAGCCCAGTGGTGGGGTGCAGCTCCCACCCCTGGGGCGCCGGGCACCTGGGTTTCACGGTCCACGCCGCTCACCTGGAAGGTGCCTCAGCCCGAGGCTGGTGCCCGGGGGATAGGGGGTCAGCTTACTGGCCCACCTGAGCTCAGCTGCTCGCCACCCGGCAGTCACCAGGAGACAGATCAGGCCCCTGCCTGGTCAGTGGTTGACGCAGAGCCGAGAGCCATGTGCCATTTTAACGGAAAGAAGGTGGATGCTGTGAAATAGGCAAAAGTCATTTGTGTCTTGCTTTATTTTTGTTTTTTGTGTCTTGCTTTAGAAAATAAGGAGAGAGATTGATATAAAAAACCAACAGGGAGATTAGATTGCAGGCGGAAATCAGAAAGAGGCACATGAAGCGCTTTTGAGATGACCATGAAAAGTGAAACAGTGAAAGTGCTACTCACTCAGTCGTGTCCAACTCTGTGCAACCCCATGGACTGTAGCCCGCAAGGCTCCTGTCCATGGGATTCTCCAAGCCAGAAGACTGGAGTGAGTTGCCATTCCCTTCTCCAGGAGATCTTCCCCACCTAGGAATGGAACTTGGATCTCCTGCATTGAAGGCGGATTCTGTACAATCTGAGCCACCACGAAAGCCCTTTTCCTTCATCTTTGAGATCATTATGACAACATCTAACTTCCTGGTCTTGGTGGCTTTCATGAGTTTCTTTATAATAATTTATTAAGCTGTCAATTCACTTTTAGGTATTTTTTGCATATTTTATTTCATAATAAAAATGTGAAGTCATTAGAAAGATATTGCAGGTTTCAGCAATTTCAACAACTGGGAAGCAGGTATGTCTCTGTACTTTCAATTTTCTTATAAGCCTAACAGCTCCTTTAAAATATAAGGTCTTCATTTAAAGAAAAAGGAGAATGTATGGAAACATACCTAGTGCCTTCTTAAAATATTTGCAGCTATTTCCTGTGGGGAAAAATGTGTGCTCAGGACCACAAATGGGGCTTCCCAGGTGTCTCAGTTGTAAAGAATCCGCCGGCCAGTGCAGGAGACGCAGGTTTGCTCTCTGAGTCAGGAAGATCTCCTGGAGGAGGGCACAGCAACCCACTCCCGTGTTCTTGCCTGGAGAAGCCCATGGACCGAGGAGGCTGGCGGGCTGCAGTCCACGGGGTCGCAGAGAGTCGGACACGACTGACTGGCTGAGCACACATGCAGTGACATAAACCGTTGTGTTCCATCTGCCAGAAGATTCTTTCGTGTGCCTAGTGAATTACCACAACACATCTTAAATGTATTTAGGGGGGAAAAAAGGTTTCTCTGACAAAGTTTCAGGAAGGTTTTTCTGGTTTTATGCCCTCATCACCTCCCGCAGCTGTAGCCATAGGACCCCAGGACCTTCGAGACAGGAAATGAGGGAGCAGGACGGGGATTGGGGTGGTCTCTCCCCAAACCTGCCAGAGCCTTGAGCTCCCTGGAACCCCCACTGTGGACGGTGGGAGCCTTGGCTTCAACAGTGGCACCGGTTGACCTGTAATTGCAGAGGAGAGAGTGGGCAGCAGGCGGGGGCGCGGGCACCAGGTCCCCCCACGGGGAGGGCACCCTGGGGGGGAGACAGATCTGAGCCCACCTGGGTCCCTGCAGGCTGTCCCGAGCCTGTCCTCCCCCTGTCCATCCCGTCCTGTGTCTGTCCCGTCCCGTGTCTGTCTGTCCCGTGTCTGTCCATCCTGTCCCGTGTCCGTCTCGTCCGTGTCTGTCTGTCCTGTCCCATGTCTGTCTGTCCCGTGTCTGTCTGTCTGTCCTGTCCCATGTCTGTCTGTCCTGTCCTGTGCCTGTCCGTCCCGTGTCTGTCTGTCTGTCCCGTGTCTGTCTGTCCCATGTCTATCTGTCCTGTGCCTGTCCGTCCCGTGTCTGTCTGTCTGTCCCGTGTCTGTCTGTCCCGTGTCTGTCCGTCCCATGTCTGTCTGTCCTGCGTCTGTCCGTCCCGTGTCTGTTTGTATTGTCCTGTGCCTGTCCGTCCCATGTCTGTCTGTCTGTCCCGTGTCTCTCTGTCCTGTATCTGTCTGTCCGTCCCGTGTCTGTCCATCCTGTGTCTGTCCTGTCGCGTGTCTGTCTATCCCGTGTCTGTCGGTCTGTCCTGTCCCATGTCTGTCTGTCTGTCCCGTGTCTGTCTATTTGTCCCGTGTCTGTCCATCCTGTGTCTGTCCGTCCCATGTCTGTCCGCCCCATGTCTGTCCTGTCCTGTGTCTGTCTGTCCTGTCCTGTGTCTGTCCCGTGTCTGTCTGTCTCCCGTGTCTGTCTGTCCTGTCCGGTGTCTGTCTGTCCTGTGTCTGTCTGTCTGTCCCATGTCTGTCTGTCCCGTGTCTGTCCTGTTCCGTGTCTGTCTGTCCCGTGTCTTTTCTGTCCCCCGTCTGTTTCTCTGTCCCGTGTCTGTCCCATGTCTGTCCGTCCCATGTCTGTCTGTCCCGTGACTGTCCCGTGTCTGTCTGTCTGTCCCGTGTCTGTCTGTCCTGTCCCGTGTCTGTCCCGTGTCTTTCCTGTCCCGTCTGTCTCTCTGTCCCATGTCTGTCTGTCCCGTGTCTGTCTGTCCTGTCCCATGTCTGTCTGTCCTGTCCTGTGGCCGCCCTGCTCTACCGGCTCCTCTCAGAAAGCATCCCCTCCCCTGGGAACCATCCTGCATCTTGAATGCAGCTCCTGTGCCACGGGCCCTGGGCAGACACGCTCTTGCTTCTGCAGGTGTGGAGGGTTATGCCTTCTGCTTGAAATCTTGTGTATCCTCCACCTTTTATGTTTATGGTAACAGAGACTCTCAAACCCAATCCTTGAGCATTGTCAGTGAGGTCACGTTTTAATTTGGAAGGTTCCAGAAACTCCAGAGGTGCCTATTTTAATGTCCGTGAAATTTGCTAAAAGTGACTCAGTCTTATTTTCTCCTTCAGCGTCTGAAGTTCTTTGTTCAGAGGCAGGAAGCCTGCCAGTCTCAGGCTCGTTCCCCAAACAGCTCTGCCTGGCGTTGTAACTTAACAGAGCGGCCTTGGAGTCGGGGTTTTCCCCTTTGTAACTCTGACCGTCAGCCCAGTGCTGGCCCAGTCACCACTGCCAGGAAGCCTGTGTGCCAGAAACAGCTGCTCTGTGGGCCTGCGGGGTCACTGGGGGTGGGGTGGGGACCGGGGAGGGGAGGAGACTGTCCTTTGTCGCTGGCACGGACGGGTCCAAGGGTGGAAGCCGGAGCCCCGGTGGCTTCCCTGTCCTGGAAGTTTGGGGAGGGAGAGGGTGTGGGGTGATCTGATCTCCATTGTAACCTCCCTTTTCCCACTCCCAGCATCATCTCAGGCATCACAGAAAAGGTCCTGCTGGATGTGGTTTACCAAAGCCGAATCTCTCTGTCACCGGCTTGGATTGAAAGCCCCAGGTTTTGGAGCTGTGTGTTTTACCCAAGCCAGTCTCTCTGGCACGGGCTCGGATTGAAGCCCCGTTTCCAAGCTGTGTGTTTTACCCAGGTCGAATCGCTCTGGCACAGGCTTGGGTTGAAGCCCCATTTCCGAGCTGTGTGTTTTACCAGGTCGAATCGCTCTGGCTCGGGCTTGGGTTGAAGCCCCATTTCCGAGCTGTGAGACACCAGCTCGCTCGCTTCCCTGCCACCCTCACCCTTCCCAGCACAGAGCCACTCTCCTGTTTTGTCCTGTTCGAGCAAAACAAATCGGGGCCGCAACGGAGCCGCTGCTGGGCGACATGGTTTGCAGCTGTTCTCACGGGAAGTTCCTGGAAAACATTGCTGCTTGCGTTCTTTAGAAATTACGGCACCAGAAATCAATGCAGAGAATAGCCAGGGTCATCATTTCTTGTAAACGTGCTTCAGTGTCCGTGGAATCACAGGGCCTGGGACATGGTACCACCCTGGCCTCTTGTCCACGGAGTGTCTCCCCCAGGCTGGGTCGCCCCCTGCGCCCGAGACCCCCAATACTCACAGATGTTGGGAACCGGGGACCCGAGACTCAAACCCGCTTCTTGCAACACTGAGGCCAGAGCGCTTCATCTCAGCAGACTTGGGGAATGTGAGCACATATGCTAACTCTCGACTTCCTGCCACGCTTCACCCCAGAAGCGTCCAGAAGCTCCGAGTTCCCTGCGTGCTCCGCAGACATCACAACTCTGTAACTTTGGGAGGCTGGATGCTTGAGATGTGACTTCTGATTTGTGCTCAACTGCAGTTGTAGCTGGAGAAGGCAATGGCAACCCACTCCAGTACTCTTGCCTGGAAAATCCAATGGACAGAGGAGCCTGGTGGGCTGCAGTCCATGGGGTCGCTAGGAGTCAGACACAACTAAGCGACTTCACTTTCCCTTTTCACTTTCATGCACTGGAGAAGGAAATGGCAACCCACTCCAGTGTTCTTGCCTGGAGAATCCCAGGGATGGGGGAGCCTGGTGGGCTGCCGTCTATGGGGTCTCACAGAGTCGGACACGACTGAAGCGACTTAGCAGCATCAGCAGCAGCAGCAGTTGTAGCTACGTTTCTATTAGCTTACCAGGATGTTGTGCCCGGGCTGTTTATATATATAGTCTAATTCCACATCACCTGTCCCTGCTGTGCAAACAGTGGGGGTTCAGGCCGAGCGCCTGGCATGGCCCAGCCTCTAACACACACGTGAGTGTGGCTCTAACACACGCACCGCGTGAGTGTGGCTCTAACACATGTGTGAATGTGGCTCCCCTGTGGCCAAGTGTGCACAGCCACGCTCCTGGAGTCGCTGGGCTGAGAGAACTACCCCCGTCCCACAGTTAGTTCTTAAAATAGCAGTCAGAGCTGACTTGTGTTTTCCTGCAAACAGGAAAGGGAGAGGATGCTGAAATATTTCAGAGGCTGCTTGAATTGAAATGCAACAGAGTTTTAATGAAGAAATCTCCCCGTTTGACCCAGAGTAACTGGAAGTGGGAGGCTGACAGCTGACTCCCAGCTGTCGCCAGGGTGGGGGGATACACCTGGATGCAGCCTCCTGCCCGTGGGACTGAGTCCCGGGCCTGCCCCTGTTCTGCGTTTGCATCTGCCGTTGTCTGCACTCATTACCTGAGTTATTCCTGAGACTCTGCTCCCCACCTGAGCCCCTGGCAACCGGCCCCTGCGGGAAAGTGCACCGCACGGCGGTCCTGACTCGCCACGTGTCTCTCCTGAGCTCTTACGTCCCGGCCAGGTCGGGCTCCTAAGGGAGCCCCCTCCCTCTGTCTCCACGAGTTCTTACTTGGCACAGACACACTAGCGGCCGCTCCCCAGCCGTAAGAAAGGAGGCGACGAGGCCATTGGCCGCAGCAAAGGGGGACCTGGAGACGGCCGTCCTGAGAGAAGGAGGTCAGACAGATGCCACATGATGGCATTTATATGTGGGATCTAAAAACAACACACGTGGACTTACAAAGAGAAAACAGACTCACCCACGACAAAGAAAGCAAACTTGAGGTTGCCAAAGGGGAAGGAGTGTGGGGAGGCGTAAGCCAGGAGCCGGGGGTCAGCCTACACACACTACTGTGTGTAAAACAGAAAACTAACCAGGACCTACTGGCAGCTCTACTCAACACGCAGAAACCCAGACGCCCTGCAGGCGAGACGAGGAGGCTGCCGGAACTGTGAGAGAGGCCTGAATACTATGTACAACTGAATCACTTAGCTGCATATAGTGTGTGAATCAACTATGCCTGCATGCATGCTAGGTCACTTCAATCTGCAACTCCGTGGACTGGAGCCCGCCATGCTCCTCTGTCCATGGGATTCTCTGCAAGAATGCTGGAGTGGGTTCCTAGGCCCTCCTCCAGGGGATCTTCCCGACCTACCTCTGCATAGCATAAAAACTGAATTTACAAAGTCACTGCTGATTGTGCTCTTCAAGGTGAAGAGCTTCACTCGGAGGCTGATAGTGACAATCTTGTTTTTGCAAATAACATATCTGAAGACAGGCGAGTCGACAAGGTTGCTGGACAGGGTTAGAGGCCGCGGGCCTGGGTGCCGGGAGCAGGGACCCCACTGCCAGCTGCCACGCGGCCGTGGCGCTCCCTGTGGTCACCGCGGCCGCCGTCCTGGCCCGTGGGATGGGACGGTGCCCTCGCGGCTTTCACCCCTGACGCCTGCAGCCCTCCTTGAGAGGAGGATGAGGAATGTGCTTCCTTCCCGCTTCCTCTTGGCCATGGAGACGGAGCCCTGGAGAAGAGAGACCCCAGGGAGGTCTTACGGGGGGGCCTCCCCAATTTTCCTAAGAATGAATTGAAACAGCCCCACCATCCGTTCTCCTTAAACTTTCTGTTTTCGGGTCTAAGAAAAGCCCTATAAACTTGATGTCTTGTCTAAATCTTATAAAACAACGAGTCCACTCAACTCCGACCTACCCACTGGACGACCAGGCACATCCCCTGGAGTCAGGCCCTCAGCTGGCCTTCTGGAGCACACGGGGCTCCAGACCTGCAGATCCGTGGGAGATGGGGAGGCAGCGGGACCGGGTCAGCACGTGGGGACCATGGGGAGTGTGACCGTCCGGGTCTCGGTCTGGTCCAGCTCTGAGGACTGCCGGTAAGCCCCTTCCTACCCCAGGCGAGACCCTGCAGGGCCCGGGGGAGCCCAGGTGCTCTTGGCCTCTGGGTCCTTCTCTCCTGTGACTCATCCACGGCCAGCACTGCTGCAGCCTCGGGGGGGGGGGCGGTCAGAGAATAGGAAGGAGACCGGCTCTTGGGGACGATCTAAGCTTTCCCTGTGGCTTGGGTATTTCAAGGACATCCCTGGTGGCTCAGTGGTAAAAAATCTGCCTGCCAGTGCAGGAAACAAGGGCTCAATCCCTGGGTCAGGAAGATCCCCTGAGAAGGAAATGGCAGCCCACTCCAGTGTTCTTGCCTGGAGAATCCCGTGGAGAGAGGAGCGTGCAGGGCTACAGTCCACGGGGTCGCAAAGAGTCAGACACAACTGAGTGACTAAACAACAACACAAGGGTGTCTCAAGCATCACCCTTTCATCTCTGGGCTCTGAGAGTTTCTCTGATTTCCTCCTTGTTTGTTGCAAGAGTCAGTGTGCTGGGTGGAAGCCAGCCTGCTCTGAGTTCTTCTGACA